TTCACTTATACACTTATATGATGCTGGACCCTGCAGCCTGGTTTGGACATGAGCTCTGCATCCAGAAATGTGCTAAGCACCATCAGAGCTGAGCCTCTCACACAACCGTCAGCTGAGAGCCACCGTGGGTCTGCGTCTCTGTGTAACAGCATGAACCCACGATGGAAAATCTGCTGTGAGAAACAGGCTGTGGGTGCAGAAAACACCTCCCCATGATGCACATGAATAGATTCCCGCAGATGCACATATAGTGTTGTTCACACTTGTACACCCACACCTGGTCTTGGGTGCAATCAGCTCACCCGGCCTGCAGTGACACACGTCATAATCCACTGCACTCACTTGGTGGAGCAAACCTCTTGACCCCTCAGTGCAGTGCGAGTGCTGGTTGGGCTTCAGTGACACTGGCTCAAAGGTGATTGGGCTTGGGAAGTCAAGAGCTTCTCAATTAACCAGAGAAGCACAGAATACCGGAGCTGGCAGGAGCCATATCAGGCCCCTGTTCAAACAAGGATCACATTTGTCCAACTTGCTCTCAAGAGCTTCCAGTGATGGAGACTCCCCAGCCTCTCTAAGCAATCTGCTCTTGTCCTGTCCTCTGCAGCCCCAGAGACCACGCTGTCACCCTCCTCTTTCAAGCCACCCTTCAGGAGTTTGAAGGCTGTTATCAGTACTGTAGGGAGGAGTGGATGAGGCGGGGGATACCTGCCCTGCAGATGTAGAGCAGGGCCAGAATAATGGCCTCTAGAGAACCCATGCCATGAGGGCTGCTGCACCCACCCACTGTGTCTACACATGCAATTAATGCACCTGAATAATCTGTGCAGAAAATTCAGGCTCATTAAAATGTTTCAAGGTGCACATCTACATGTGTACCCACGCCAGGAACAAATTGCACCAGACAGGAGCATCCCAGTCCAGGGCTACTCCTGCCCTCTTGCAGCAACCAAGGGTTGCTCCAGGCTCCCCTGGGTACCAGCCCTGGTTGGCAGGGGACACAGGTCCCAGTCTGGTCTCCAGAGGGCAGGCAGAGCAGTGCCAGCTCTAGGGGTAGCCATCTCCCAGCTATGCGGAGACTGGGACCCATCCTGATTTCCACAGAGCAGTGCCAGCTCTGGGGCAGCTGTCTCCCAGCCACGTGGAGACTGGGATGGGATGGACCCGGCATAACTGAGGGACCCACTGTGAGCCAGACAAAAATCCCTCAGTGGGCCAGACCTCTATTTTGCCCACCCGTGTCCTAAACCATTATGCAAAACGGTTTGTGCTGACCAAAAAAGGTCTCTTGGATAAGGAGATAGGAACAAGTCCCTCTCCCTTCATGGCACATCGACATCCTGCACCCCAAGGCTCCTGGGGTATTTAATGTTCAACTATTTCCCTCTAAAAAGTGACCGCTGCTGCCCTTCTCAGTCCTAAGGTCCTCCTCCTTGTTTCTACCATCTGACAGGCAAAGACTGGGATGACCCCCAGCTGAGGGGAACCAGCCCTCACTTTTGGGTCCAGACCTCACCTGGTGTGAATCAGCCTGGCTCCACGGGGCTGAGGGCAAGCAGACTGTGGGAGGTCTCTGGACCAGATCTCCTGCCTGGCACCAAACATCCCTTGCTCCATTCCCTGAATAGGCCAGGCCTCCAGCTGGTCTCAATCAGTGTCCGCTTCTTTAGGGTTGGGGGTGAGATGCCCATGGGCCATCATTGCCAAGGAGTCAAAGTCACCCCCCCGTCTTCTTTTGCTCAGACTGAACAAATGGTGGATGCGTCTACATGAACCACTGAACAAATGGTGGATGTGTCTACATGAGACACTTTACTGCACATAAGACTATTCTAATGCACATTAAAACATCACCGTCTACACGTGCACATCAATTACTGCGCATTAAATTAGTCTAACGCGCTGTTTGCTAGTACTAATACATACAGGTACCAGAAAAAACAGTGCGTTAACTAATGGGCCGAAGAGCATATGTAGACCCTGACTGGAAGCAATTTGCTCCTGGTCAGCCTTGCACCCCCTGGGACCCTGCCCGCTCCGCAGAGAGATCAGCTGGACCAGCCTCCCTCCCCCAGCGCAGCATGAACAAAAGGCACCACAGGCAGCCTGTACGGTTCAGGGGCAGAGAATGTCACCACTTGCCAGCACGTCTCACCCAGGAGTTAATGAGATCCTCTCCCTAGCATGTCAAACCCACTGGCCATGCCCCCAAGCAGCAGCCCCCCTTCCCCCAGTTAACAATATAAGAAGTGGGCAGTCATAGCACAGGACCCCACCGTGACTCACTCACCATGGGACGCAGTGGCAGGGGCCTGGTGAGCAGTGAGCGACTCCGCAGGGACGTGGATATCGGCATAGACGATGTCCCCAGCCATAGCCGCCCCACGCCAAGGGAGAGTGCCTGCGAGCTCTGACTCCCTAAAAGCATTAGGGAGGCAATTGCTCGGTGAGGCAGGAAGAGCTGCACCCATGGTCATGACACAGCATCTGCCAGGACTGGGCCAGCTCTCTCCCACTTCTGGTCTGTGGTTTCCTTTGCTGTTCAACAGGTCTTGAAGCCCCACCGGAAGGAAATCAAAACTGCAAAGAAGGGGCAAACAGAGCTCAGCAGGTCCTGACTGAGCCCTACCCCCTTGCCGGCAGCCCTGAGCATAAGGGATAGGGCCGCGATAGAGCCGGTTCAGCTGGACCAAGAGCGGAGAGGAGCTTGTCGCTTCTGCCCTCTCCCAAGGGGCTCTTTAGCCTCCTCACTCCAAATCGACTCTCTAGCACCAACCCAGGCAGCTGCTCAGATGCTGAAAGCTTCCTGCCAGCAGAGTCCTGCCCTCGCCCAGTGCAAAGGTTCAGCCCCATGTATGTCTACAGTCTGGGCAGGTGGGACCAGGTAAAGAAACCCACTGGATCCATCTGGGAAAGGAAGTTATTGTCACTTCAAAGTGTTTTCTCAAGTGCCTGGCTCTTCCCCGAAATGAGATAAGCTGCAGCCCCTGCTTCCGGCCTTTGTTGCAAGCATGGGACCGGCACAGCAGATGAGGGTCACCCACAGGCAAGGGGAGAGGAAGGAAGAGGGTAAAGATGCTGCTCAGTGTTTCCCTGGGGGTGGGTGTTTCCAGAGTGCCACAGGCTGGTTGTAAAAGGGCTTGAAAAAAGGTGAGGCCAGAGGTCACAGAGGGTCTTCTAGGCCCCTGGGGTTGCCCATACGTGGAGCTGCTTCTCAGCCACAACTTTTCACACGTCAGGTTTAATTCAAAGAATCCTTAGCTCACAGAAAAGAAGAGCCGGAAGGGCCCTCGGGGTATCACAACTCGCGCCACCCCTGCTAAAGACAGGAACAATGATCCCATCTAAACCAGTCCAGCCAAGTGTGTGTCTAACCTGCACGTAAGCCCCTGCAAAGATGGCAGGGAAATACCGCGACCACCAAGGTGGTTTTTCTACCAGGTGGGTAAAAGCATGAGCGTGGTACCCTGACCGAGGTAATGCATAGTTAGCCTCCCTCTTCCAGTGCCAGTGGGAAGATCTCGGCTGTATAGAAATGGGAGACTCCTTAGCTCCATCTGCAGTCCTGTGCTCAGTTTTGGGACCCCACTACAGAAAGGATGAGGACAATTTGGAGAGTCCAGTGGAGGGCAATGAAAATGGCTTGGGAGCTGGGGGACATGACTTATGTGGAGAAGCTGAGGGAACTGGGCTGATTTAGTCTAGAGAAGAGGAGACCAAGGGGGGACTTAATAGCAGCCTTCAACTCCCTGCCGGGTGTTTGCAAAGAGGCTAGAGCTGGCCTGGTCTCAGTGGTGACAGACAACAGAACAAGGAGCAATGGGCTCAAGTTGCAGCAAGGGAAGTTTAGGTTGGATATTAGGAAGAATTTCCTCACTAGGAGGGTAGTAAAACACTGGAGCAGGTTACCCAGAGAGGCGGTAGAAGCTCCATCCTTGGAGGTTTTCAAAACCCAGCGAGACAAAGCTTTGGCTGGGATGATGTAGTTGGGGCTGGTCCTGCTTGGAGCAGGGGGCTGGATAGATGTGACCTCCTGAGGGTCCTTCCAGCCCTCGTTTTCTAGGACTCTAAATGCTGGCCTCCGGGTTCCTCCCCGTGGTCAGGCTCCAATGCCAACAGAGCAGCAGGAATGGCATCCTCGTGAGCGGAGACCCGGGGAGGATTTTGCAGCCCTCAGAGATAGTAGCAGGCAGAACGCCATGAGCTACGTGTGAGCTGGATGCAGTTAAATTCCTCCAAGCGCTCCAAGATAGTTAGCAAGGGGACAATTCCAGGGCTGGGGAATGAAGTGACTAAGGGTTGGGGACCAGGGAGAACCTCTTGAGCCTGCCGCCAGACCAAGAGTCTCCTTTTTCAACAGGCCTCAATGAGCTCTTTGGCCAAGATCTCAGGGTGTAGTGCCCAGTACCAAGGACTCTGACTTCCGTAATCAGAATTCAAGCCTTGGTGGGACCCGTTTTTCTCTGCTCAGCCAGAAGGCTTCCCTGACCTTCAGGAACTGAGGAGGAGGAGCAGGGTCTGGTGGAGGGAATTAGTCCCTCTGTTGCCTCCCACGCTGCCCCAGCAGTGACAGCTCTAATGGCACTTATTCCATGTATTACACCTCTCCTCTCCACACCAGGACCACTTCTTATCATCACCCAGGACACACCTGGAAACAAGGAAATGTTGAGCTTTTCCTCTCTGCCCCCCTGGGAATCACAGCCACAGATTTCCCAGCAGATAAGAAGCGCGAACGGCGTAGTGAACAATGGCTGTCATGATGGCCCCATGTCTCCTTGAAAGAAGGCAAAGGACCTTCAATCCCAGGTGATGGGAGTTTAAGATGGGACGTTCTCAAGGAGCACGTCTACATGTGCCGTTCGAGGGCATCAATAAACTGCAGAGCTTATTTCTCCGCAGTTTATTGTTCCCGGGAAGCTCCCGGGTCCAAGTCTGCACATGTGCCCAGACCCCAGTGCACTGAGCGGGACTGCAACAGCCCTGACTGGCAGGGCCAGCTGCCTGCCCCCACCCCCCAGCAGAGATCGGGGCTTAGCCAGGCAGCAGTGGGCCCCTGCTGTCTGGGCTGACCGGGAGCAAATTGCTTCCAGCCAGGGTCTACATGTGCTCTTCAGCCCATTAGTTAATGCACTGTTTTTCTAGTACCTGTATGTATTGGTACCAGCAAACAGCGCATTAGACTAATTTAATGTGCAGTAATTGATGTGCATGTGTAGACGGTGATATTTTAATGTGCATTAGATTAGTCTGTGCAGTAAAGTGTCTCATATAGACGCACCCACCGTTTGTTCAGTCTGAGTAAAAGAAGACGGAGGGGTGACTTGATAGCCACCTACAAGTATGTCGGGATGAACATCAGGATCTAGGGGAGCAACTCTTCAGAAAGGCACCCCTTGGGAGGACGAGGTCCAGTGGGCACAAGCTAGTCGAGGAAAAGTTTAGGCTAGACATAAAGAAAAACTTCTGTTTCGACTGGGCTCAATATGCTCCAGAGGAGCTGGCTGGGGCATGAGGGTGCTAGTGTGGAGCTCGCCGGCAGGCTGCCGTGCATGAAAAAACTGCAGCAAAGTCTTGTATTTCCAAGTACTACCCTGCTGCGGAGTTTATTAGTTGTGTGTGCCTTGAGGGGGTGCACGTGTAGACACTACTGTGAAGCTAATGAGCGTACTGCACGGTAAATGTCTCGTGTAGACGTGCCTAAGCAGCGTGTTCCTCTCAGGCCTTCAGTCTCCTTCCTGATGTGAGGGCACCATAGCGTGATAATGTCATTCTTCCTTCTTTGTCCATTGAAATCTGTCATCCTTTGCATGGATCCACAACCAGCCCAAATGTCTTCTATCCCTGCTTTGAAGAAAGGTATTAAATTCCTTGGTCCGCTGCAGTGGGAGTCATGGACCAAAGGAGGGGATGCTCCTACTCCAGGGTGAAGAATGCAGTCCCCAGCCTCCAGAAAGTGCCACAGCCCAAGAGAAAACAGAATATATGCTCTTGTGTTCATTAGCGTGCTGTGGATGGGCTAGCGATAAAAGGAGACTGTTGATAGTCTCTGGGTTTGGGTCAAAGGGGAGAGCCACAAGGGTGGTGTCGTGGTGAGGGTCTCCTATAAACTGCCAGGCTAGGCGGATGAGGTGGATGAGGCTTTCTTCAATCAGGTAGCGGAAGTTTACGTATTCTGATGGGGGATTTCAATCTCCTTGATGTCTGCTGGGAGGCCAAAGCAGCAGCGTGCAGGCAATGCAGGAAGTTTCTGGAGAGCGTTGGGGACAACATCCTGGTGCCAATACTGGCACGGCCAACTAGGGGCTGTGCTCTCCTGGACCTGCTGCTCACAAACAGGCAAGAATTCAAGGGGAATGGAGAAATGAGTGACAACTAGGGCAGCAGCGACCACAAGGTGATTGAGTTCAGTCAACTGAGGAAAAGGGGAAGAGGAGGAGCAGAGTAAGGAGACCCTGGCCTTCAGAAAAGCAGACTTTGACTCATTCAGGGAATTAATGAGCAGGATCCCCTGGGATGCCAGGCTAAGGGGGAAAGGAGTGCAGGAGAGCTGGTTGTATTTTAAAGAAACGTTAACTCTGGGTGCAGGAACACACCATCCCGATGCGCAGGAAGACTAGTAAGTATGGCAGAAGACCAGCGTGGCTTAGCAGGGAGCTCGTCAGTGAGCTAAAACACACAAGTGAAGCTTATAAGAAGTGGAAAGTTGAACAAAGAACCAGGGAGGAGTATAAAAGTATTGCTTGGGCATGCAGGGACGAAGTCAGGAAGGCCAAAGTGCAACTGGAGCTGCGGTTAGCAAGGGAGGCGAAGGGTAACAAGAAGGGATTTTACAAGTATGTCAGCAACAACAGGAAGACCAGGGAAAGTGTGGGTCTTTTACTTAATCGGGGAGGCAACCTAGTGACAGAGGATGCAGAAAAGGCTGAAGTGCTCAATGCCTTTTTCACCTCAGTCTGCACTGGCAAGGTCGGCTCCCAGACAGACTGCACCTGCCAACAGCGGCAAAAGAACAGGCTAGAAAAGCTGGATGTATACAAGTCCACGGGGCCGGACATGATGCACCCAAGGGTGCTGATGACATTGGTGTAGCCCACGCATGGCAGAGGCCCTGGCCCGGGATGTCTCTCAGGAGAGGGCTGTTGGGAGAGGGGTGAGGGTCACCAGGTCCGCATCACAGCTGGGTGGGAGCCCGTCACCTAAACCCAGGCACTGCCAACCCAGCGCCCATCACCCACAACCCATGGTCTTCAATGGCATGAGAGCAAACTGCCTGGCAAACTGTAGGGAGAAGTGGGGGAGCTGCTCCAGAGCTACCTGGGCAGTTGGCAGCAGAGGCCATCCATGGCTTGGCCTGGGTAGGGTTTGGGAAAGGCAAGCGGCCCGCCTATGCCTGGTGTGGATGCAGGAAGGGAAGCCTTGGCCAGCAGCTGTCTGTGAAAGAGCCCACCCAGGCAAATACCATGGTAATTTGAGGGTCCAGGGTTCAAGCACCTGTTCAGATGGTAACTGCAGCATGGTAACCAAGAGCCTGTGCATGATGAAGAAAGCAAGGCTGTCTCAGTCCCTGGCCCCTGGATGGGGCGGGACCTGCTTTTTCACTCCTGGCTGGCGTCTGCTGTTGAGGGCCATTGTGAGCAGCCCATTTGCACATGGGGGCCTCCTTGACATCAGATATTTGGCCACCTGTCAGCCGGGTGAGGCATGGGCATTGGAAGTGGAAGAAGGGGTTCCAGCCATGCATACGTGTGTATATGGGTGCATATACGTGCATATGGGTGTGTGCATATGGCAGGGGGCTGCCTGCGTACTAGGTCCCAGGAACTGGCTGGGGGTGGGGAGAGGGCCAGAGAGTATGGGGTATGTGCAGCAGAGCTCATCTGGGCGGTGCAGGTCCTGGTGGAGTCTGCATTGCCTCCCTTCCCGGCCCACCCAGGGCAACCCACACTGCACTCCCACCTGCACCTGCCAGCCCCGGCCCCAACCAGCACGCACAGCTTCCCAGCGGGGCTGGTCCTGCAGCCGCCTGGGTGCTGCTTGGCTCCCCCTGCCTCCAGTGGCTCCTTCTCCTCTGGCCCCAGCTGCACTGCTTCAAGCAATGAAGGCAGGACCAGCCAGAGTAAGCAGCTGAAGCTGGAGACAAGGTAAGTCTAGGGTTACCTGGGATGAGAAGCCAAAAGCCAGAGCCAAAGGTCAAACCAGAGTCATGTGCAAGGAACCAGAATAAGGGGTTTCTGAGGTCTTTCCAGAGTCAAAGGCAGGAGTCAAAACCAGAAGATTGATAGGGAAACTCATGGAGCAAGAACTTTTGCCTTTGCCCAGAAGGAGACTAGGGCCTGGACTTGGCTTTTTAGGGCTGAAGGCAGTGGGACCTGCTGCCTGTAGCTTCACGGGCCTGCCTGGCTGCCCTGATTGCCTCACTCAGCCCGGGGTGGGGCCGGAGCGCTGCTCTGGGCTTGCTGCGGGTTGGTGCTTGCTCTCGGGATGACTTGTCCTCATCTCTTGATTGGGACTGGCTGGTCCGTTGTTCTGTCCTGGTCTCGTGACACACACCCACTCCGTTGGACAAGACGAGTCAGGAGGATGCCCGATATAAGCAGCTCCCAAAACAGACCCTACGCTCCCAACTCACGGATGGTCACCGCTCTAGAGTTGAGCAAAAGGAGAGATTCAAACTCACCTTGAAGATCTTTCTGCTTTTGCTTTCAGGGTGTGGGAGTTGTCTATGAAATCAGCACTGCGGCGCACGTCGGGGGGAGAAAGGACAGGAGCCTCACCCCCTGCGCAAATGCCCTCCTGTGCCCCCCACTTTTCCTCCCACATCCCCCATCTGAAACCCAGCTCCATCACATTCTCCGCTGAATCCACTCTGGCCCCACTTTTGCCTGGCAGCACAACCCCCTAACTCCCGCACTTTCCTCCCTCTGGGTGTTGGGAAAGAAAGGGGTCTCCAGAGCTGCTGCCTCTCGCCCAGGAATTGGGCCGCCATGCTCCACGTGGCGAGGCAGGTTTGGTTTCCATGAATGTCAGGGCTTCAGGTCTTAACTGGAAGGCTCCTGGGGTGGGCCGCCTTGGAGAGCTGGAGCAGAGGATTGCACTCAGGGTCTGTCACAGCCACATGGACCCTCCCGTTAGGGTGGGAACTTGCTAACGGCGTCGTTTCAACACGGCAGGCAATGAAGCCAGCCAGCTACAAAGACGGAGTTTCCAAGCACACCTGTCTTCAGAAATCTTAGCTTGCTACCCGTTAATTTAATTTGGGTATGTTAAGCAAATCTAAGTGCACGTCATTTAAAATGTTCCCAGGCCCTCCCATGGGGATATTTCCCAAGAATCTCACAGAAGCCGCCCTGGAGCCAACAACCCCCCCAAAAAACCCCCAAACAAAAAAAACCCTCCCAAACTTACCATTTTGGGTCACACTGAAGGAACTGACTTCTCCAGCACGCTGAAGAGCAGGAATCAGCCTTCCTCCCATTCTCCACAGGCTGTGGGTGCTGGGGCTTTTAACTCTTTAGACTCTGCTGCCCCTGCCCTCCCTCGCTGCCTCTCCCCAGCTCTTTTCTGTATGGATAAGGACTTTTGGGGATGGGGGATTATCTTCCTTTCTTCACCCTGGAGTCAACCCTGCCCATTTCCTCAGCCCACCTACCCCGTGAAACTACAGCAGCAGCAGAGAGTGCAAATTTCCTAGTCGGATGAGGAGGGAGGATGCCTTTTTTCCTCATTGACCCCCAGCGCAGAAGAGAGAATTGAACCTGCTGCTTCCATCTGTGGATCAGGGACAAGAGGCCTGGTTGCGAGCCCATGCACCAACTACCAAGTCCAACTGAGGAAGGAATGAAATGGCCACGTATTAACATTTAGATGTGATCTTAACCCTAGCATATTCAGGGATTTGACACGACACCGCATCCGATTAATAGAAGAAAGGCTTTATTAACTATGCCCACAAACAAGCTTTGTACACAATTACAGAAAGAGTCCTCAATATTCAAATAAATGAGCTATTATCAAAGTCCAGGACATTTGAGCTGTTAGTCGTGTCTCACCAATACAGGCAGGAGCCGGTCTCAGTCTTTACAGCCTTCGCCAGGCGTGGATCTGTCAGCCAGGACAATCATCTGGGCCTAAGGTTGCGATGCTGCAGTGAGTGATTTCACCCTCTCTCTTGGAGCGCGCTTTGCCACTAGCTCCGTTTCTTTCTTGCACTCCCAGCTGTGTGCCTTCAAAGCATGCTTTCCTGGTAGCTTGACGATTAAAGTCCAAACAAAGAGATGGGGAAGGGTCATCATCTTCTGATTACATGTCACAATTGTTAGCCGCTTGGATCCTGTTTGGTTTGTCCGGTTGAGAAACTTACTTTTGCAAGCTCTTGATTGGCCCGGAGGTTGCAAGTTAATTAACTGAGAAGGGGCTTGATTGACCGAATAGGACACCTTGGGACATTGGTTACGAGGCACGGTTTGGGGTGTTGTTTTAAAAGTGGGACAGAACCCAAAATATCCTTGACTGGAGATAGATCAAAAACCCCAAACAGACATTGTCTGCCTCGGGAAATATGAACGGATCAGGGAAGGACATATCAATAAGGAAAGAGACAGTCACCTAAGGAAGGGCAGTTGACACAGTTAAACGTCGGGTGTATCTGAAACCAGCACGGGAGATGGGGTCAACTGTGATTGCTTCATTTTGCACGGCCCCAGTCACTATCTTTCATTCTTGTGCAAGATGTACTGGTATTGTCATTTGGTCATTTGAGCTTTACGTAGGTTCAGCCATTGGAGATGTGTAGCGGGTGCACATGGGTGCATGCCCACCCCGAGATTGGCAGTGCACCTCCTGAGAGAAGCGCCACCGACACTGCTGGCGGTGCCTGCGGGCGGTCACTACTTGCCACCCCCCCCCCCACCAACACTGCTGTGGCCACCTGTGGGAGCTCCGCACTCGCCGCGCCCCTGCCACCGACACCATTGCAGCTCCCCGCTCACCGCCACCATGCCCCTGCTGCCACCACGTACGGGCAGTCACCATGCCCCCCCACCTAGCCTCCAGGGGCACACGTCGTTCATGTCCTGCAACTGCCCCCAGACCCATTTCTCCCACCTTTATAAGCCAATTTTGGTACTCGCCAACAGCAGACAGTGCACACAAGCACAAGGCGGTGGCACACGTTACCATCATGGGGCTGGCGACGACAGCAACTCGTGTTGCAGACAACGAGCGAGGAGCGCGGATCCACATGGGAGACTATATTTTGGTGCGCGTCGCTCCCACAACACACCGCACAAAGCAGCTGACTGCGGGCTGCCACCACACCAATCGCATGAGAGTGAATTTACCTCGCCTATAATGAATTTTTGGTATAAAAAGAGTCATGGCATAAGAGCAAATTTGCGTATACAGAACCTGCATAAAGCACAGGAAGCCTGTATAAACAAGGACTACGTGACGTGCAGGAACCGGAGTTACTGCGCAGTCGTGTTGCCGAACGGCTTTTCGGTGGCGTTGCTCGAGCAGTAGCTCGTTACGACTGCGCAGAAGCGCCGCGTCACGCTTCCTGCCACACAATGCTACTGCGCAGTAGCAACGAGCTATGGCGCAGTCAGCGTCTCGTGCAGTAAGTGCTCGCAGCCCGGCTGCCAGTCTCCTGCGCTGTCTTCCCGCACCTGTGGACATGCTGCGGTTCCTCTCTTAAAGCAACAGGAGCTCCTGGCTTCCTGTTACACAAAGGAGCACATCACACAGGAACTGCTAGTTGCGTGTGCGTGTAGAAAAAGGGCACATGCATCAGTGTCACACGGTCAAGGGTACCTCAGAGGTACCCACACATATGCACACCCATGTGACTCCACACTCCACCCACATGCGCACACACACAAATGCAAATACCCATTGAAATATCCCACCCACCTGTGTGCTTGCACACAATTGTAGCGTCACACTTGTGCACACAGGCGTGGCTGCGGCATCACAGGCATATTGCATAGACACACCAGTACAAACCCATTCACACACATGCCAACGGTCACAGCTGCATGTGTGTTTGTGAAGGTGGTGGACCAGCTGTGTGGGATGTCACAGGGGTGTGAATGCGGATGGGCATGCACATGGGATGTTTCAGTGGGTGGGAGGGGTGTGACTGTAGATGCGTGTGGGGTTGTGTCTGAGTGTGCAGTCGTGTGTGCGCGCGCGCACATGTGCACATGTCCCCTTTCTATCCATGCAATGGTCTTTTCACTGCGTGGTTAGGATGATAAAGACACATAAAAAGGTGTAAAACGGAAAATGCTGAACCCCACTTTTTAGTCCAGTAATTCAAGCATAATTGCTGGACGAATTGGGAGCTGGGGGCTTGGACAAGGGGAGCTGTGACCCTGGATGCCTGCGTTCTCTCCAGTTTGGGGAGAGGAGTGAGATGGGGGGGCTTAGAGCAAGGTGAAGGGCTGGAAGCCCGGACGCCTGGGTTCTCTCCAGCTCCGGAAGGGGATGTGATGCTGTTAAACACAGTGACTCCTTTGACGTCTTCTCTCACCTACTTTTCCAGGAAAACACCGGAGCTGGATGCACAAGCGTGTGCTTGGGCCAGGGCCAAATGGTGCCAGGATCATGGGGACTGGCACAGATTCAGGACTTGAATCCCCCCTTCCCCCCTCAGCAGGTCTCAGACCTGGACCTACCTGGCCCTGGAGGTGGGGTGTGGGGGCAAGGATCCAGGCCCCAGGGTGGGACAGACACCCGGCCCTTCAGGGGGCAACCCACCTCCCCGGGCAAGGGGCCCGGGCTGGATGTGAAAGCTGGGGGGGCGGCGAGCAAACTCCAGCAATAGGTGACCAGGCCTGGGGGTAGGGGGGGCTAATGCAGGATTAACGATTATCTTGCCATGAGGTCGCAGTGCTGTCAGAGCTCTGTTCCTTCCCCTCCCGTTCTGGGGAGGGCAGAGGGTTCAAAACAACCCTGTTACCTGGGCGGGGGGCTGAGAGGTGACACACTCTGCCCCCCACCCCCCTTTTCAGCCCCCTTGCTCTTAAAGGCACAGTACAGAAAGAGGGGCTGCCTACACCCCCAAATGCTGCTTTCCACCCCCAGCA